TGCTAATATCGATTTCATCACTTGCCTTGGTAATAATCTCTGTATTATTTTTTGATGGTTCGGTAATTTCACCATTAGTATATGTCGAGATATTACTATCAATTTTTTCTATTGGATCCATATTTTTTCTGCGTACTAAATATTTACTAAGATCAGTACTATCCAAAGATATATTATCAGACTTAGTAATATTTTTTTCATCATTCCCACCAACTATGGGTTTCGATATAGCCTCCGATTTTAGACACTTAAGCTCATTGATCTTCGATTCCAATTCACTCTTCATATTTTCGAATTCAGCTATTTTAGACTTGAGGAATAATATCTCGGATTTTTTTTTCGATGAGTCATTTTGGATCGAAATTACATCTTCCTGAGCTGAAGACAACTTACCTTCCAATATCTTGATCATAGACTCGAGTGATTTGATTTTCTTAAATTTTATATTATTTTCAGCTTTGAACTTCGCAAGAGAAATGTCTTTATTAGCATTTTCAATCTGTATACGCCTAGCTTCATCAATAAGTTCGAGATTATAAATACGTAATTTCTGGATCTCAGTATTAGCATCTCCCAGTTTTTTATCCCACTTCTTTCTATTCCGATCCCATTGTTCTCTCTCCTGATTAATTTTTTTTTCTTGTTTTTCATACTTATCCCGCAATTTAGCATTATATGAAACTATCTCGGAAGAATCTTGGAGGGTGATATACAATTCTTTCTTAAGGTCTATCACATTGGTCATATTAAATAAAGAGAATTATTATGAAAAATAACAAAATATGGAATATATATGATTAAATATATAACAAATACACTAGCTCCACTATACTTATCTGATAATGCAATCAAAGAGATTATGCTTCCAATATAATTCAACAATAATAAATAATTATCGATTTTTTTAGAAAATTATTGAATATTAAGTATGTAATTTTTAGTAATTTTTAATAATCTTCGATAATTTTTTATAATTATAAAAAAAGGATGAAACACATAACCGTGGAATATTATCACGCCGGCACTCCTTATCTATCTCCAGAAGCTATTGAGGAAATAATTCAATCTCGAGGGATTGTTAAAAATGCATACAGAGAAATGGCTGATAAATATGATACTTCAACTCGTAGAATTTATGAAATTTGAAAAAGACATGTTCAAGGATTACCCCTGCGCAAACAACAAATAATACATAGTGTTGCTTCTTCTGAGGCAATGCCTGAAAATAATACTTCGGATAGGCGGTCAAATAAAAGAAAATCAGGATCCGATTCCAGATCTGTTCGAATATCTGATTCGGTCAATATTATTAAACCCAAAGTTAGCTTTTCAGTTAATAAGGCTGGCATAAAAAAGGTAAGTGAAATGAATGATCTACAAGCTAGGCTTGTACAAAATCACAAAGAAAGAGAAGAAGCTAAACGTGAGACGAAAAGAGTCTTAGATTTCAACTAATCTATTTTATTTTTTCTAAAGAAGTTTGTAGACCCAATGGGTCATTGCTGGGCAATAAACTACATACCATTTCAATAACAGATTCATTACTATAGGTTCGTAGTTTTTTATTAAGCTCGATTAATTCGGTATTGGATTCGAGTACCTCATATAATGATTTTTTTAACTCCTTATAGCTCATGCATTTTTTTTTAATGATGGGTCATCAGAATCTAAGCTAAAACCCACAGGAGTATGCCATTTTTTGAATGGTACATTATCATTCTCATTACTATCCACTTCTTGAGAAAGTTGATCAGATACCAAAGACCTATCAATCTGAGATGTAGTAGTACAGTTTACTTCGAGCTTGTTCTTGACTTTGTGCATTGTAACCAGAATAACAAAATCTTCTCCGTTATAATGAATCTTCATTTTATCGTTACTCCAATCTACAGCACATTTATATTTTTTGAGAAGCGGGTTTGGGAATATTAATGTCGGTTTGGGAACACGTACAACTACAAAATTTTCTCGTATAGTAAAACCTGAAGAAAATGTTATTGGTAAATTATGAGTAATACCAACAGATTCTGTTGGAACAGTAGTGACGCCACTAAGATCATATTTTTCTGACGTATCTATTTTTCCGCCTACACGTTTAACAATATCTTCTGATACGATTGCAGGTTCAGTGCCACTATCTAGTACCAATGCCAGAATTTTTAAGCATTTGATTTTAACTGGTATAGTTACAATACTAATTACCGGTTCTTTCCGACGGACGAAATCTATCTCCATAGGATCATTCATTGTCTCCTCTTCATCATCTGAATCAGGTATTTCTGGAATTGGTTCTCGATAATTTATAAAGTCAGGTTTTGCGATAGACAAATTTGTATTATTAATATTGTTTTTAATCGTTTCTATAACCTCTGGATCGTTAAACATAGCTAGGATAATTTTTCGAATTTGTGAGTCAATAATCGTACCTGATTTCTTTTGTATTTTTTGTGAAGAACGTTGAATCGGAGATGAGTTGGAAACTCGAAGCTTTGCTTTCTCGAGACTCTGTCTCTTCTTTGAACTAGACTTTTTAGATGATTTATCCGATTTACTCTTCCGCTTTACTTTTTTTTTGATTTAACAGCATTGATAATTTTCACGATTTCAGTCTCAGTTAAGTCATTCACAGAATCAGATTCCGATTCAGAACCAGAACTTGACCCAGAGTCAGAGTCAGAATTAGATTCATTATTAGAAGAGCTAGCATCGGACTCAGAATCTGAGTCTTTAGTAGCTATATTAATCTTACCTTTTTTCTTGGATCTGCTTTTGCTAGAACGTTTGGACTTGCTTTTCTTTTTATTTTTAGGGCAGTTGCGAGAATTATGACCTGTTTTACTACACTTTGAACATTTGTATTGAGAAGATTTTAAAACAGTGTGTATTATTCGAGCTAGTTTTGCTTGATTGATATCCAAATCCTCGAATTGCTTTCTCAAATCTTCAATGGGATCATAGTCATAAACTTCTTTTGGTAAATCTGTGTCATCGATAAAACTATCTAAAAAACGGTTCATAGCAAGATCATCTGCTTTTTGTTTTCCTGGTCCAGGGGGTTTCTTCAAAGTTTGCTGTCCTTTAGCAATAGTTCCCTTTAAACCCACTATAATTTTTTTGAAATTATTTTGTGAAAGCGTGATTTGATTAAACTGTTCTTCTTGAGATTTAGAAGCAGTGGATTGTGTAGCTAGCATCATAGATTTTATCAAGTTTTTAATTTCAGTTTCAGTCAAACCTGTATTAATACTTTTTTCATAGGGATTAGGCACTTGACCTCCAGAAGGTGGGAATGAAAAGTTGCCTTGTAGTAGTGAAAATTTTTCTGCTTCAACTAATGCTTTTGTAATATTATCTCTAGTGTCATGGTATTTAGCCATCATACGGACATTGTATTGATTCATAGGATTTAATCCCCGAATATACTGCTCTCTCATTTTTGATTCTGGTAATCCAGCAAGTTTTCCGAGTTTTGATATCTTGGCATTATACTCGAGTATTGACATACCTCCTTGCGTAATCTGACCAAAGAAAAGCAAATTTTTTTGTGCTTCGACCGTAGGATAAAGATATTCAAGGCAGTATAAAAATTGTCCAAGAGTCATTTCAGGTGCAACAATTGAATTACCTGCATCAGCATTCGCATAATTGGCTGAAGATGGAGTTCCTATAGGTGCAGGATGTCCTCCAGCTATACTCCAATCTTCATCCCATGTATCCGCTGGAATAATATTAGCACCGGTTATTGTATTATCACCCCCAGCATTATTTCTTACAACCAAGGCTTCTCCAAGAAACTGATTTGCATTAATACCTGTTAAAGCACCATTATTTAATGCTTGAATTGCATTTAAGTCATTCACACCAGTACCATCAAAAATATTATCACATTGCCAGTTTCTACTTTTGATCTTGTTTTCATACCAGGTTTTTACTTTACCAACCATATATGATATACCTAAATTATATGCTTCTGCTTTACCAGCAACTCCTCCTGCACCAGCTATAACATTTATTCGAGATGCAATTACAAATTTCTTGAATTCTAAAATCCAATCTGATGGATCTTCTCCAGCTTTTCCAATAAAAAGAGGTGGTCCATTTCCTATCATGTTCGATATTTGTATCTGAGGTGGATTTAGTAATATATTATTCTGTAAATGTAAAATTTGTCCTTGTAAATTTAAAATTAATTGCTGTGAATTGCGCTCTCTATTTTTTCACTTGATATGACTTGCCTTCCGAACCTTGAATTTATTGTAATATCTATCAAAGATTCTATCTCGATTATATTCCAATAATCCTTTATCAGCTCGGCATTGTTGTAACTCTTGTTCTAAGCGATAAATAAATGCCTTAAAAATAATTTCGAAAGCATGTCTGAGTTTAAATTGCTCTTCTAATACCAAAGTAACATTATGCCACAAATATCTCTGCATATCATATTTTTGTTGCAATTCTCTACCATGTCTCTGGCACCTCCGAAGTTTAAAATTAAGTACAAACTTATCGAGTAATAAAGTATCAATACGTGTTTGCATCCCATTTTCTATTTTCTGGGCAATCCCCCACCAGTGACAACGATCCCTCTGTTCATTATTATAAGCTGTTGTCATTAAAGTAAGATCATTCTGAGAATTGTCACATTCTTGAGTAAGATGATTAACTTGATTTCGTAAGTTATGTCGCTCTTGGATAAGTTGATTAACTTGGTTCTGTAAGTTAATTCGTTCTTGAGTAATCTGATTGACTTGGTCCTGAAAATTATTTTGAATAAGCTGATTAACTTGATTCTGAAGGTCGGCGTTTTGTTATCTATAGTAATTGACATTCTGCTATAGCTGGACTATCTGATTATTGTTGTCATCTCGTTGAGCGATAACACTGTCTATATCCTGATATGCGTTTTGGTAATTAAGGTGGACAGCATTCAAAGAACCTCTAATGCCATTTATAATATTGATAGGATTATTTAATGGTGTTCCAGCATCTCTAAAATGGTTTTCAATACGATCCAAGCCTCGGTTGATTTGTATAAAAAGATCAAGATTCGCCATATTTATATCTTCCTCTTCTGAATTATATAAACTTGGAGAGCTTCTTCGAGAAGAAATAACTTTGAATCTATG